AAGTTAGTGTGGGGTAAATATTCAAAGCCTTGCTAATCAAGTTGATTAATAGTGCAAACTTGATGGTTAGGTGAATACTCTGGTCATGCAGAACAATGTCTATAAATATTCTCAAAAGGGAGAGTTAACTTAGCCTTTTGAAAAATGTACCCATTCTGGTATCAGAATATTTTTTATTCATTGATTGATTGATTCATTCATTCCAAATGCTCATTGAGTTTCCAACTGATGAGGTAGGCGATGTGTTCAATATTAGGAATTAAAAAATGAACAGAAGGTGGTTTTTTACTGCCCTCAATGCCCTCCTGACACCTACCAATTGTGTGACTTTGAGTAGATCACTTCTCATGTGTTTTACTTTTCTCATTTGTGAAACATAAGGAATTAGTTGTCCCTCGCCACTTCGCACTTCGACTTTCGCGGCTTCACTCTATCGCAGTTTTTTCAAATATATTCATTAAAAAGTTGATTGAGATAGTGAAAATGATACAGTGTGTGCTCGGTTGTCTGTCAATTACACACCCCTGTATTACAATTACAATTAAAATTCCTGTACGTGTGGACTGTGGGCCTGTGTGCTCGAGCGCCCCAGGGATCCTTCAACGCCAGGCGCCGCCGCTGGAGTCTGGGACGGATTAACCGCAGTAAACAGGGACGACTGTACAGAGATTATACCTAAAAGGATGAGTGGTATCTCAAACCCTCCCAGCTCTAACATTGCATAAGAGAAGGCTGAGATTTAGAGGCACAAAGGAGATTTAAAAAGGGGAGTAAAGACTTTCTAGAGAGTTAAAAATAAACCACACACACACACACACAAGGCCTGTTGCAGCAGTAGGTTTGTGTGCAGAAGTAGTGAAATATAAGGGTTTGTGGGTCACACTGTGAAGGGTCCTGACGGTGGTGTGACAGAGGCTGAGTAGTCGCCCCCAGCAGCCATTCTCAGCTTTTCCGTCCCACTGGAGAAGTCACCCAGTCCGAGCTGGGCCCAGGCCCTCCCAGCTGGAGGCGGCATCCCAGTCTCGCTTGCAGCCGGTGACCTAGTTTGCACCATTCGGGTGAATTCTACTGACCCACACAACTTCTTTGTCATCTTCTTAAAGACAAAGCAGCTAACCCTTGACGCCCTCCCCTCCACCCCAACTCCTGCTGGGAAACTGTGACAACCAGAAACATTTTTTTTTCTTTATTGATTTGAGAGAGAGAGAGAGGCCCTGGCTAGTTTGGCTCAGCGGTTAGAGCGTCAGCCTGTGGACCAGAGTCCCGGGTTCAGTTCCCGCTAAGGGCATGTACCTCGGTTGCAGTTTGTCCCTGGCCCTGGTTGGGGTCATGTGGGTGGCAGCCACTCGATGTGTCTCTCTCATGTCGAAGTTTCTCTCTCTCTCTCTCTCTTCCCCTCTCCCTTCCCCCCTCTCTTCCTCTTGCTCTATCTGAAGATAAATGCAAAAAAAAAAAATGTCCTCAGGTGAGGATTAAAAATAAAAATAAATAGAAAGAGAGGAAGGGAGAGGGAGAGATAGAAACATCGATGAGAGAGAACATCGAGTGGCTGTCTCCTGCATGCCACCCACGACCTGGGCATGTGCTCTGACCGGGAATCGAACCGGCAACCTCTTGGTGCATGGATCGACACTCAACCACTGAGCCACACCAGCTGGGCTAACTAGAAACATTTTGGAAACTGTGAGTTAAATATGGCAAAGTCACTTCTCCAACTGTAGGCTGCTTCTACCTGTACTGTCTTACCTGTAATATCATAAACTATTCCTGAAATCTATGTTTCCTTCAAACTGGAGATTTAATCTAGAGCATTGTAGAAGCTTTCTACAGAAAAAGGTCAGGAGACACATTTGATGAGCAGAGGAAACAAAATATCCAGCCACAAACCACCATAATCCGATTTCCAGGCCACATCTTCATTTCAGATTAAACCATTTCTTTTCCTTTTGATTTCCTTCAATTATGGTATTTTAATTAAATGACTCTCTGAAACATGCCTAGATTTCCATATCCCCTTTGAAGTGATCCACACATGTTAAGTAAAGGCTTGCCCTGTGAAAGGCAGAAATAATAGGGCCCCTAATGATAGCTTCTTGTGTTTATAACTTAGAGTCTGCTCCCCTGATACATCATGAGAAAGGTCCTAGCATCAGGGGATTCGTATGCAAATTGCCTGTTTTTTTGATGTACAGTGTGGAAGGTAAATGGTTGATGTAGGATTTTAGCAACCCCATTGCCTTGTTTCCATTAACTTTGTGGTCAAAGATGATAATACTCATTCTAGACCAGTGAGTTATTTCCTATTTTTTTGTTGGTAGTTTTTGCTGAGAAAAAAAGAAGGCAGCAAGAAAAGAAGAAGACCAAATATGAGATGGATTTACTCCAAAAAAAAGCCATCAGCATGATGTACAAGAGCTGAGCAGGGGTGAGGACATTATGCTATTTGTTCATAGGGTATCAGGGGTGGGAGCCAACTCAGCAGCGAGTAACACACGCACACAGATTTCATTCTTTGGGTAAAGTACATGATAGTAACCCATAGAAATTTAGAAAGGACTTTAAGAGATCCTTTAGAAAGGATAATATAGCTACCCCCCATTTTAGAGATTAAAAAATCAAGACCCAGCGAGTCTTAATATTGTATTTCAACCATTAAAAGACACAGAGTTTTCTTACATGTCAATGTTTCAAAAACCAGGATGTTTGTGCAATGAATAGCATCTTCCAATGGCTTTGGCCAGGTGGCCATCATGGTGCAGTGGCTAGGACATGTGAACTGGGTGCTGTTGGACAGTTGGGTGACTGGTGGCTTCACTGGACAACTGTGACTTCATGTTTCAGACAGCGGTGTGGCTCACTGGAGTAAAGCACAGGCCCGGGCTAAGGTCTGAAACTGTGTTACCCCCTCCTGAGACGCGTGAAGGGTCCGCCTCGCAGCTCGCCCGACAGGTGTCCTGGGCTCGGCAGCAGTCCTGGTCTCGGGTGAAGCGTTCGCTTAAGAGCAGCTGGCCCAGGGCACTGACGTTTGGGAAATTTGCACATAAACTACTGTTAGTACAATATTGATTCAGAGAAATTGACTACGACTCTTTATTTTCAGTTTTTATGCTCTACAACATTGCTATGTGAATGATTTATTTCTAAAGTCGAAAAGAGCTCCTTTCACGAGCATAAAGTAAAAATGCTGAATGATAAGGAAACACTATGTCATAGTTTGACACTTTTCTTTCCCAATAAAACAATCTTCCTTCTAAACAATTATGAATATAATCAGTTCCAATCCAGTCTTATTTCTTCATCTGTTTTTCTATAAGCCAAGTTAAGTTATCCATTCATACATACTCTGAAGTTAAAAAAAACAAAATGTTCCAGTTTTGATGAAGAAATCTAATCTTTATTTCTATGATGTTAGCACAATATACTCACACAATAGCTTTGATCTGTACTTAACAAAATACATTATAGCACTTTACAAACTTTTTCAGTTTGGAAAACATTGCGTAACATTTTATTAAACACGATACTTTATATATATTATATATATATTCTCATAACTTTATTTACTTTAAAAAGATAAGGAACTCTCTTTGTTCAATACTTGTCTGTGTCCGTAAAGCACAGCCGAACGAAGGAAGGGGTGCTCTCGTTAGCAAACAAGATAAATAGAACACTAAGGGATACCACCTGTTAGTCTCATCTATTTTAAATTAAGGTACCAGTGGAATGTAAACAAATTTCTTGTAATTTTTTTTTTTTTTTTTTACAAAAGATGTGTTATCAAATATACATGCAGAGGTCTGAGTTCTAGCGGCTCTCATTTTATTTCAACAATGTGGTACAATTTAAGTCTTTAAAAACCATAGCCTTTGGCACTTTGAGTAGAAAAAGAATATATCAATATTTATGTGAAGAACAAAAGCTTCAATGACTAGAGAAGTACTTTAAAATCGTTTGTTAAGAAGTAGGAAACGTTAGGAAAGGTCACTGCACCTGAAAGACTGCAGCTTGTTCTTCAGAGCACTGACCCCAGCCGCCTCCCCAGCCCCAGCGCAGGAGCCAGGCGTCGGGGCGGTGAGAAGCGGGAAGGCAGCATCTGAGTCCCACTCCCCTCTCTGAGAAGGAGGTTGCCAGAAGGGATATAGTGAATCTGTTATTTTATTGCCAGAGTTTTCAATTCTGCTGGTTTCAGCTAAATCCCTAATGCTCTAGGAGGTTGGTTGTTCTAGAAAGCTCCGTGCCTTTCCTGCAGGAGGTGGAGATAATGTGGAACTGTCCTCCCTAAACAGCACTCTCTGCTCTCGGATCGGAACCCAGGTCAGATCACCGGCTTTGCTGTTACCTGAGGTCCCCCGGCAATCATCACGGTCGGTTACAATTCTCGAGAAATGGTGTAGGAAAGGTCTAGAACTACATTCCAAGAACCAAATACTTCTTTATACTTAAAATACATTTTTAAATTGGAAAAAACCCTCAAAATGTTTTGTTTTTATTTTCTTGTTGATAATATTGTTTCCTTTGATTTAGGCCGAAAGCCGTTCAGGGTGACAGCAAAGACTGGCATTCGCACGCTGAGCACCAAATTGTGCCTGTTCAGGTATTTTGAAGAAATAAATTCTTAGTTTATTCTGTGAGATAATTTTATTATCAGTTTGTATTTGTTTCTGATTCTTCCTGTGGGTGAATAATTAACAAAAACAGGGAAGAAGGTAAGACACCTCCCTGCGGAGAGCTCTGATTTACTGGTTTTCAGAATATCAAAAAAGTTACTGTTTTGGAACTAAGTGGAATTTCTGGGTTATTTGTTGAGATAGCAACCTAAGCCAGCTGGCAATGTAACCCACAATGCCAAGTTGTGGCTCAGACTTCTTGTTTAAGAATTCACAGCAATACATTTTGCTCAGGGAATGTCAACGGCTATTTTCTCTTTAAAAATAGAAGAACATATCTGTAACATCAAAAAAAAAATCTAAAAATCAATAAATAAAGGATAAGCCATAAAATACAAAATAGGATCATAGCCATTTCAAAAGACTCTAAAACAATATGTATTTTTAAGTGATGCATCTTGACTCACTAAAAGCCAGATTCTTGATTAGCAGTACCTACACTTAAATAAAACGTAAGCAGCGAAGAAAAATACTACGCAGAAAAGTACTAGCTATTCCCTTTTACTGAAAATATTCCTATGCAACTTTTTGTTGTTGAAGAAAGCATAATTTTGAAAAAAATGCACAAGACCTTTGCACGTTGGGCTGTGACGGAGCCGCCGCAGAGGGGCTGGGGTCCTAGTCTACCACAAAGCGGCCAGCGGCGTCCTGACGCAGCGGCGTTGCTTCGACGAGGGGTTCACACCACGACTGCACAGCTAGATAGCACTGGAGTTTACATGGTAGATGCACTAGACTGATCAGCACCACCCACGCGGAGCAGGAGGTGCGGATTCTGCAGAATGGGTATATAAAACTGCATGGCCTCTGCCGTGGGGAACCGGTTCTGGGCCCCCACAGCTAATTAGAAAGAAAAGTCCCTAAAGTTGGCACATTCAGGAAGTAAAGTAGTATACACTGAAGGCAGCCCCTGTCCTTTAGGCTGCCCTCTGCAAACCTGTTGAGTTTGGAGATAGGTCTTAAGAATCCTCACGTGATCACATTAGTCAGGTTCTTGCATTGTGCTTTTCCCGCCCCTCGATGTGAAATCTACAAGCTTGAGGGCAGCCCTTCTCAAGAGTCACCGAGTCCGGGGCTGACAGTGGATGACCTAGATTGGTGCGAAGTTCCCCAATCTTCTGGAACAGAACACAAGTAGACTCAAACAGTGGTCTTTGGGTGGGGGTCACCCAAACGATTGAATGCCATTCACTCAATCCTTATAAGCCCGTGTGGGAGAGGTTCCCTTGTAGAAGATGTTCCTAGTGTTTTCGGGGCTGTTGCTTCTTTCAGGGATTAAGATGATGTTGCCTTTTCTCCGGAGAGTGGAGTCGCGGGAAGAGGAGACGGACAGCGTCTCTGAGCCGATCTCGCTGCCTTCCACCGGGGTGACGCGGATGGTGGTGATCCCGTGGTGGTGGTGCTCACTGCTGTCGATATTGCTCCTCTTGCGGTCTCCAGAACCAAAACTGTCTTTCAGGGACTCACAGCTCTCTGAGTCCCTGTTGAGGTCGTTGAGCTCATAGGTTTGGCGGAGGCTGCCCTTCTCAGGGGCTTTCCACTTCCAGGAACCGCTGCCCTCGCCCTCCGTGGACGGGATCTGTATGATGGGCCTGCTGTTCTCCGGGTGGGCCTCCACCCTGACGATCCCAGTGGGCTCGTGGTCCGTCAGGGTCTTGTAGCGGATGGAGCCCGTGCAGGAGACCGTGCTGCCGTCTGTGTTCTTGGGGCTGCTTTGCAGGACGCCCTGCTGCTTGGACATGGCGATGACTTGCATGATCCGGGGCTGGCTGTTGCTTCTGTTGCAGGCCACGGTCTTCTCCGCGGCTTTCAGCCACTTGGCCCGAGCAGAGCTGCTCTTGGGGGAGGTGCTTATGTTTTCCTGGGTCTCCTCTGGGATGTGCACCAACTGTGAGGACCCAGGGCGGGACTGAATGGACACCCGAGGTCCCCCAGGCATGCTGTTGTTACACACAGGGACAGTGCCAGGCTGGATCTTGAGGTATTGATTGCCAGGACCGTGGTGGTCTCCATTCACCCCCACCCTGGATGGCTCAGAGCTTGACCTCATTTCTATGGATCTGGGTGGTGACTGTCCGGGCTCAGTCTCTATCACCTGCAGGGACAGCTTTCGACTTTCATTCTTGTTCTTCCACTGGGTGAGGAGCTGCTTGGAGCGGGCGGAATCCATGGAGGCGTGGATGCTGGCGTTTCTTCTGACGGGGTCTTCCACGGACGGAGTGTTGGCCCTTGGCAGCGTGTTGCTGAAGGTCACCATGTTCTCCTTCCCCATGGGGCTCCGTGGGGTGATGATTTCCACGTCAGCGTTTGCCCTTTTGAGGTTCGTCAGGGAGCTGGCGTCGCGGTGGTTCCGGGCGAGGATGCCTTCCGTGTGAGCTATCCCATCGCTGCCGCCACCACTTTTAGCAGCTAAAACTCGGCTGGCGTCCGGATTGAGGTCTGCCAGAGATCTGAGGGCCTCTCTGTGCTGGAACAGACTCTCCTCGCTGGGCAGAAAGTTGCCCACAGCATACAGGCCCTAGTGCAGAAGAGAAACCGTAAGTGCTGTGCACTGGACACAGATATCGTCTAAGTGTAGGATACACGGATGAGGGAATGAGTGGAGGAAGTGGGCAGTGTCGGCTTCCTCATGCTGTAGACTCTTCCCTTGAAGGAAGATCGGGTTGGAAAATAGAGTTCTGTTTTCATATTAGTTGGATCAACAGGGTCCAGGTGCCACATCATGGTATTGAGCAGGTTATCTAATCTCTCACTAAACCTTCACTTTCACTAACATTCACTCTCTTCATTTGTAAAATTATACTCATCCCTGGCTTGTGTGTGTGTGTGTGTGTGTGTGTGTAAGGACAAAATGCAACATTTCTTCTAAAGTCACAGTTTCCGGCCCATGGTAGGAGTTTGATTACTTATTTTACTGAAAATCGAATACGCGTTTTGGGTTAGAATGGAGATGTAGCCAGAGGTTTCCTCATGAATACAAACTATATTTCCAGTAAATCATTACAGTACAGCATATTCTATGCGGGTTTTCCATTTTACACTGTGGCTTACAAAATAAGGATAGTAAATCACCTACCAGGTACAGAGCTATCCCTCCTCCTATTAAAAAGCCACAGTACACGTCCACGGGATGGTTCTTGTACTGCGTTATCCGTGTCAGCCCACAGATGATGCCACAGATGATGAATGTGAAGACCAAGAGGGGTTTCAGGAGCTTGGAGGAATCCGTTAGCGTGGAATTGAAGTACATCTTAAAAATGAAAGCGATTATGTGAGAAAGGTCATTTTACTATTAAATTATCATCAAATAAAAAGTTCAACTCCAAAGTCTGACCAGGGCTGGGAACCTTGTTTGTGCCCAGGGCCATTTGGATATTTATAACATCATTTGTGGCCCATACAAAGTTATCAGCTTAAACATTAGCCTGCTCTGTGTGGTCAGCTACTTGGTGAGGCTGTGATGTTGGCTGGTATTGGTTTCCAGGGCCTTGGCACGCCCCGGGCCAGACGGTCCCCACCCCGCCCCGACTCACTCAGCACAGAGGCTGTTCCCCCTCCCCCGCCCGCTCTCTCTGCATCCTCCACCCGAGAGGAAGGGAATGCGTGACAGCTCAGCAAATAGATAACATCATTTAATTACGTGGACGTCTGGCAAATATGGAAGAGTACAATCAGTCACATCACTGCTTAGTCTCCATGTTATTTGTCATCATTTCAATTCATTTTCCTCGCATAAGATCTAATGAACTATTGTATTAATCAGCTCCGCTGACAATTCGTTGCACAGTGTTTATCAGATTGACACGACTCGGGCCCCAGAACTGCGTCAGGCTGGGGTGGCACCCGCGGACCTCACCCAGTCTTCGGTTTGGAATTCACATCACTCCCGCGGCTCCCAGTCCCCTCTCCTGAAGTGCACCACCGATTAGAGGGATGCCAGGCTGCCAAGGTAAACGGCTGTAGAAAGGTATTTTACTACACCAGTTTACAGCAGCACCTGACTTCTACCTTCGACACCTGGCAGGGAGGGACCCCGAAGCGGACTGTCTGCTGTTGCGGGCTTCGGGGCGGGGGCGGGAGAGGGGCTCACCCTGACTTCTCCAGGACACAGAGCGGGGACACAGACCGGTACTCACCGACACGTACACCGCGGCAAAGGCAGCGAGGGTCGCGTGCTGAGAAGGGAAGGACTTCCTGCAAAAGGAACACAGTCAGACGACGCCTGCTCTCCGCACTCACCGCCGCCCAGACCCCGGTGGCCAAGGCGTTCGCCTTACACGCCACACGGCAGTGGGCAGTGACCTTCATTCCTTGTCGTTTCCTGGGGAGATCTGAGTGTGACAGAAGCACCGCTCACCCCCGTCGCTTAGAAAGCGGGGTGCCCGCCCCAGAAGAGGCTGGCCTCGTGGGGACCCCAGGACTGCCGCCACAGCGCCCCGTGGTGGTTGAATGAGAAAGATCGGAAGACAGGACAACTGTTCTTTGGTATCCGAACTATGTCAGTTTAAAGTAAAAATTCATAAAACCTAGGATTTTAAAGCTTTTAATTTTTGTGCTCCTAAAAATAGGATTCCACTTACATAAAATGTTAAGACAAGATTATTTTTTCACAGCAATGGATCTAAATGTGATTTCTACACTCTATAAAGCATGAGAAAAATCTAATTTTAACAAAATGTTTCTCTGTGTGTTTCATTTTAAGTATTTTCTCAAGAATCACAGAGCTTATTTAGTTAAATAATTTAAGAAGCCCGGAGACAGAGGCACAAGATAGTGAGAGAGACCCTGGAAAAGACACAAAAGAAGAACATAGATTTCTTTTGATGGATAAAAAGATTGGAAAAAATAGCCCTGGCCAGTTTGGCTCAGTGGTTAGAGCGTCAGCCCGCGGACCAGAGAGACCCGGGTTTGGTTCCCACTAAAGGCAGGTACCTTGGTTGCAGTTTGTCCCCGGCCCCGGTTGGGGTCGTGTGGGTGGCAGCCACTCGGTGTGTCCCTTTCATGTCAACGTTTCTCTCTCTCTCTTTCCCCTTCTCTCCTTCCTGCTCTATCTGAAGATACATGCAAAAATGTCCTTGGGTGAGGATTAAAAATAATAAATAAATAAAAAGGATTACCATTCAATACAGACAGGAGCCTGTAAAAGGATGGAGAAGCACAGAGGACACAGGTCATAAATAACTGACTGGACCAGGAGATCTTGACTGTGTGTGATCACACAGTGTCAGGCTCTGATTCTCGTCAAGTGCACACAGTAACTTGTTTTTGACTCTGAAGTCGATCTTTGGGAAGTTCTTGAATGACAAATACAATTCTTACAATTATCATTTATTCATCTTTTTATAATTTATTTCTCTTCAACTTCTAAAACACCTTCTGCCATATAAATTTATTTTTTACTTTAGTGATTGAAAACAATTTAATGCATTGGTAATTTCTTGAGGTTTTCTGTCTCCTGTTTTCTGCAATGCAAGGTTAGAAGCTATCCAGGTCTTCTGGTTTATTTGTAGAAGACACATGCAGTCCCAGATGTGGTCCCTTTAAAGCTCTCCTGAAAGGCAAATTCACGTGATTGTTTATAAAACATACCATGGAGATGTACACATTATTGATATTCAGTCTTCCACTTAAGTCAGCACAGAATATGCACTGACTATGAGCCACGGCTGACTAATATCCTAAAATAAACCAACTGAGTACATGGTGGGTCACAAAACACGAGTAAGGTTTGGTGATGGGAAGATTAATGGCAAAATGAGGCTGAAATTTGGAGAGAGAGGAAGATTTGGAATGAGCCATCAGTGGTTTCTATGGTATAATTATTAAGAGATCACTGAATTGAATAGAAAAACAAAACCCAAAATCATTATGACCGAAGCCCGCCTGCCTGGGTGATCCCTGAGCTGTCGATGAGCCGATGAGTGCTGCAAACAGAGATCAGTTGCACTTAAGTTTCAGCTTCTAACCTGCCGCTGTTGATGACTGTGAGGTCAGACCCTGAGCAGATATCCTCGACGATGTAGGAGTTTTCTTTGCAGGACACATTCAGAGAGGTGTAGTTTGGCTTGCACACCGTCAGAAAGTAGGGTGCCTGGTACCCCGTGGACAGCTGTATGATGTCAGTGATGAGTGCCGTGGAGCACAGTCCAAACACGTGGACGCCTGTGAGGAAGAGGGAACACGCGGTTACCAGGCGGGTGCGGGGCTGGTGCTGGTCGCCGTGCTCCTGTCTGTTACACAACCTTCAAATCTGTTGTGACCATTTTCTCTGCGTCTATTTCAAGAAGATAATAGAGAAAACTCCTAAATTTCTAAACAGATACTTAAGGCCAATAGAACGGCAATGAGTATCTTCAAAGTAGTCATTGGAAGTATTTTTATCATTTTGGTTAAATAAGGCCAATTTTCAGTATTATTAACCATAGGTCACTTGCCAGACACCTGAAATGAGTTAAGTTGACCAACTGGATTAAATATGGGGAATGAAGCAGAATTAAAAATCATTTGAAATTGCCTCGCACGTTTGAGCTTCCCGGCTCTGTGCCCAGCGGTCCCTAACTCTAGTCACAGCAGCCACCCGGCAGAGTCGGTCCCTGCTCCCTACCGCCGTCAGCACACCAGGGATGCTGACGAAAGCAGAGTAGGGAGCAGGGGGCCCAGCCATGGAGACAGTAACTATATCCCGGCCATGGGGCTGTGGGCGTCTCCCTGCGTGTCTGGAGTTCAGAGATGATGTTCTGGTATCTCCAGGTCCAAATTCTGTCTTCTGTCTCCTAGAGCTTGTCTCAAACCACAGACTCACAGACCCCGCTGCACACGCACACTCCACCCCCACTCCTGCTGTGGGTTCCTCCTTCCTTGTCCCTGGGAGAGGCTCTGCTCACACGTCCACGGCACGCACACGCCTGCTTCCTCCTCGTGTTGAGGCCTCGAGGTCCTGTGACCGGCCAGCCCGGCTTCTCCCTCACCGGTGTGAGAGGCACCGGGTGGTTCAGCAGTGGACTCCTCCAGACAGGATCGCCGTCTGCACGGTCCCCTGCATTGTCTGCATTTTCCTTCTCTGTGTTTGTCCCCTGACACCCACTCTACCAGTTCCTTCTGCAGCTCACCTGGGCTTTGTTCTGCATTCAGTTCCTAGCAGTGTGCAAGGCTTTAGAGAGGACTAAGGCCCCCCCCCCACCCCAACCCCCGTGGCCAGTGAGGACCTCCAGAAGCAAGGAGGGTGGGCTTGCAGGCTGCGGGCTCTGCTCCTTTCGTCCCCTTAGGGAGAATTTCCTCCGTGATCGGCTCTCCGCCCTGGAGTCCTACGTCCTCGCCTCAGTCATGACCCTGCCAAGGGGCCTGCTCTCGTCTGCCCACTGTGCTGCACTCGTGAGCAGAGTCTAGGCCGTGATTCGGACCAGACTGTCCTCTGGTGCGGAGACGGTTGTACGTCATCTACCCGGCACTGAATGAAACTACCTCTGCCTTGGAGAGAGAGGTACAGGTAACAGGACTTCCTACTGAGTTGTTTGGAATGACTGTGAGGCACGCATGTTGGCGTGAGGCATGTGGCTAGACTGCTCAACTCGCTTTTTCTCAAAAAGTGAGATCAAATAAAAGTCCTGCAACTCATTAAAAGAACATTAAGATGTTTCCATGTCAAGCCAAAGAGACAGAAGTTTAGATACTGCTTTGAGTCAGATGCTGGTTAGCCAGGCCTGTGGCCTCTTCCGTAGGTCTCAGAACACACAGGAGGCAGACTTCTAGGCGTGACCAAGGAGACAGTCACCATGCAGTACTGTACAGTGACACCTGCTGTGCCTTGGCTTCTGAATGGAGACACTCCAGGACAACGAGCATGGACTCACTGATGTCACCAAAGTCATTTCTCAAGTGTTAACGGTTCATACTAGCCTGCTGACATTTATTCTCCACTTTAAAAAATGAACGCAGCCCTGGCCGGTTTGGCTCAGTGGTTAGAGCGTTGGCCTGTGGTCCAGAGAGACCTGGGATCGGTTCCTACTAAGAGCATGTACCTCGGTTGCAGTTTGTCTCTGGCCCTGGTTGGGTTGTGCGGGTGGCAGCCACTCGATGTGTTCGTTTCACATCGATGTTTCTCTCTCTCTCTCCCTCCCACTCTATCGGAACAAAATATCAAAAAATGTCCTTGGGTGAGGATAAAAATAAAAAAAAAAAAAAAAAAAAAATGAACGCAGATCCAGTAAAACCATTTAAAAGTACATGTATGCTTCTGCCAGATCGAAGACAAAGATACACTAAAACATACAGTGTCTTAGCTCTCAAAACAAGGACTGTAAGTGTAAACACATTTCAGATACAAAGCCCAAATTTGGGTGTATCAACAAGTTCGGGTTTTTTTGCATAACGTAAAACTCATCATGTACCAAAAATCACACATCTAAATTATAGCTTTAAAGACTTAACATTTGTAATTAAACATAACATCTCTATTTGAAAAACAAAACAAAACATTTCCTTTCTCTGTGGTTCCCATACCCACCGACGAATCTGACGGCTCTCCTGAGGAAGGAGTTGAAGTTGCAGCCCCCGGCGTTGATGTTGGGCTCCAGGCCCACCCCGCTCCTCCGTTTGGACAGGCAACAGTAGAGGATTCCTTCCCCCACCATGATCTGCAAAGACAAGAGGTTCAGCACGGACTCCTGGTTTCAGCTGAGTTATACGTTATCTCTTAGCACATCATCGGCTCAGCAAGGTAAAGATGTATTTTCTTAGAGTGTTAGAGATGTGATCAGTTTTTCCTGGGCGGTCAGGCCGCTGGGAGGAGCACTGTTCGAATCTGCCCAGTTTTCAATACTAGCTTATCATTTACTGTAGGAAGAAGTTTAAATGATAGGCTCACACAGCGGGGATGCCCCGACTTCCTGCTTCGATGTTCACTCTACCGCACTTCTGTGGTACTACGGTACTGTGTACCATTATACAGAATTTAATTTGTATAAAAATAATTTTCTTCATGAAACTCGACCAGTAACCATACACGTGTGAAAATCATGTGGCATGCATGATAGACTTTTAAGATCAATTGTAGAGAAATAATTTAAAGGGTTTTTTTTTTTCCAGATCATTGAACATTGAAAATGTTCTTTATACATCTTGAAAAATATCACCCTACATTATCTCTTTAAAGTAGGCATGGACACACAAAGGTTCTGTATTCTGCCTGAGGCACCACACACAGAGAATAATATAATGGTTGTCTCAGATTGATCATTGCAAGAAAATTAACCACTCGTCCCTGAAAGGCATTGTTGTTTGGCTAGGAGAGATGGAGCCCGTCTTCACTTCTTCAATAGCAATCTGTGAGTAATTTTGTTTCTTTCTCTTTAATTATATCTGAAATGAGATGTACTTCTCATCATTAGATTACATAAACCAGCGGTTCTCCGCGACCCCTTTGGGGGTCAAACGACCCTTTCACAGGGGCCGCCTATGACATAACAGTAGCAAAATTACAGTTATGAAGTAGCAACAAAAATAATTGTATGGTTGGGGGTCACAGCAGGAGGAGCTGGATTAGAGGGGTGTGGCGTTAGGGGGTCACAGCAGGAGGAGCTGGATCAGAGGCGTCAGGAAGGTTGGGAACCACGCACTTATTGCTGCTGTGCCATTAGGGAAATGTGTCTTCTCACACAACAGCCATCCTCTCAGACGACCTTGAGATTCCAGGCGTTTTCCCTTAGTTGCTTAGTATGCTGCAAACGCATACGGTACTCAGACTCTTTGGCTTGATTCTAAACAGAGGGTTTTTGGTCAGTATTTTGACATCACCAACTGTCCCTCTCTCTAAGGAGCACATCAGTCTCCTCACACTTCGACTCATTTAACCTTGGTCTCTGTCATTGCATGAATGTTCAAAAAGATCTAATTTGGCTTAAAGATAGAATTCCCGTGGTGGGGAGGTGTTTACTGACGGATTTCTAAATCGCCGCTCTTTTCCGCGTGGGCGGTGGCGCGTCCCGTGTGGGGTGGGCTCAGGCTCCGCCTGGACAGCCAGACTCTCCGCTGCTGCAGTCATTTGCAAAAAGAAACCGTTCCTGACAACTGTCCTTCCCCAATACCCTGTCTATGCTGTACAGAAGCCTGAGAGGAAACAGCACAACTTGTTTCGTGTCCCATGTCACGGGCAGGTTTTCGGAAGAGCTTCCGAAGTGGCTTTGCGTCAGGGCAGGGAAGGTGGGGGCGGTTTCTTAGCACACGGGCACTGCCCTCGAGCGGCCACCACGGGGAGGGCTCACAACCCGGAAAGTCTTTCTTGTGAATACACCGAAACAAAACAGCAAAAAAGTGTTATAGTCATCACAGTGTGGTCAGTGTGGAAACTGCCCGGACGTCTTCTGGGAGCCCTGGTGATTTCAGTATTGCACTTGTGGTCGGTGTGGACTCCTGACCCCAAGTCACCTTCTAGAACTATGCTTAAATGTTGATAGAGCCCTGGCCGGTTTGGCTCAGCGGTTAGAGCGCCCGCCTGCGGTCCGGAGAGACCCGGGTTCGGTTCCCGCTAAGGGCATGTACCTTGGTTGCAGTTTGTCCCCGGCCCTTGTTGGTCGAGCGGGTGGCAGCCACTCGATGTGTCCCTTTCACATCGATGTTTCTCACTCTCTCTCTTCCTCTCTCTCCCTCCCACTCTGTCTGTACAAAAAATGGAAAAATGTCCTCGGGTGAGGATAAAAAAAAAAAAAAAAAAAAAAAATGTTGATAGAGTTCTCCTGTAAAATTAGATACACTGTCCTTGACGACCGTGTGACACAGCTTGCTTCCGGGAGAAGAGCTGCACACTCCTGCCCAGCGTGCAGCCTTCGCGGTTTGTAAGCCCGTCTGCGCCGTGGCCCCGGGAGGTCACCTCGGAGGACTGCCCCAGCGCTGCTCTCGCTCCAAAGTGAGCGAGCGTCCGGTATGAACGAGAGTTTCCATTTCGAGGGCATCGTGGAGAAATAAGAATGTGCCTTTCACAGGCATGAACGGAATTGTTAGTTTCTCATATCTCGAAGACAAGTTATTCTGAAAACATCCCTCAAAGCACAGAGAAAAATCTGAGAAGCAAAACGAAGTGATTTCTATGTGAAGACCGTCAATCGGTTCACCTTCCTTTTGCTGGTAGACAGGTCCCTTAAAGCGGCTGCTGCTGGGAGGTCTCGTTTTGCTCCGCACACCTGCGCGGGGAAGGCCACCTCCGGAGGCAGGGCTCCCCTGGCCTCCCCTGGCCTCCCCTGCCCCCCGCGGCTGTTCGGGAGAGGCCGGCGCCGCGTAAGGATACGACGCAAGGGGCGTCCGCGGGGGTCAAGGATGCGCCGGTGGCCTTCACTTCCAGGAAGAGTTGGGAGGGGTTAGAGCGGCCGTGTCCACCCTTTTTCACCTCACGGCGCACACCCTGATGGCTAAGATTCCACGGCACACCAAAACATGTATATTTTTGCCGATCTGAAAAAAAGGTATAATTTTGATTCATTCACCCCGGGCAGCTGTTGTGTGGGCTGTGGTCGCTTTTTCACTTGACAGTCTCAGGGAAAAGGTCAGTGCCCGACTGGTAGTCAGGTGTGCATGTGTGAAGAAGGCCTGCGGCTCACCGGTTGAACATCGCTGGGTCAGAGCAGGGGTGACGTAGTAAGATTGGCGAGGATTGTGGTTCTGGACATGGTGACCGCAAACGCCGCAGGACCAAGGCTAAGAAAGCGTATGTTTGGGGGAAGGCCTTCACGAAGGTACGTATGATATATGGTTGGAGTGAAAAACTGTGTTTGATGTCAGCTAAGTCAGACTTTTGTTTTACTGGTAGTTGCTGACCCAAAGCTTGTGGCTCGTGCGGAAGAAAAGGGTCACGGAGTCCTGGGGTGCTGGGGCTGGAAGCAGGTGGGGAAGTCAGGGGCCCCGAGGGTGAGAGCACCTGGTTCTCCTCTCCTCCCCTGGGAGGCAGTGAGCGCGTGGGGGCCCCGTGCAGACCCGGGAGAGGACGGGCTGCCCCGGGTCAAGGTTGCGGAAGTGAGTTCTGGCAGGCTTGTTCTTTCATTGCCCAGGGCTGAGAGAGCAAGCTTTGACCCAGAACCCCCAGAAAGAACACTTGAATTGCATAGTACGAATTTATTACAGGAAGTGAAGGAGTTGGAGAAGCAGAAACACAGGGACGAGGCCAAGGTCACTGTGTCTAGGACACGTAGACATCAGCAATAGGATGGATGTGAGAAATCGACTCGCTTTCCTGGCCGCGAGATGACGTCCACCGAGGGGGACAGACTTGGAGACACATAACAACAAATGACTTAAACGATTAATATCAACATGGTCTTTTCAGCAGACTCATGGACATTTGTACAGCATTTTATTTATTCTGTTTCAAACAAACCAATCAATAAATTGTCCATTGTACCCCGACTAGGAGAAATGCTTTCTAGTATGATCGAGTTAAAGCACATACTCATTTTGCTTTTGTAAAGGGACTGGGCGATAGGAATTTTTTTTATGTCTTCAAAGAAATGGCAGGAAAAGAATGTTCTGAGCAGTACAGCACTTTAAATATGTTCTATTAATCTGAGTCTCGGCTACTTCCCACATGTCAATAATAGTTCCAACCACCCCAGAGTTACTGGAACTCAAACAACTCATTGATTTTCAAAGTATTTTGAGATCTTTTAAGTATGATAAAGCTCTTTGGAAAATGAAGTTCTAATTTTATCTTCAGAGAGCATAGGGTGTGATTTATTTGTAGTATAAATAGCGTGTGATGATTATTTAATGTAGGGGACATTTAAAAACAAAACAAATCCACAGCCAACACAAGCAAAGACTTTCGAAGGTCTATGCTCAGACTCCGAAAACTGCTGATGTGCTAAACCAGAAGAGGCCCGTCCATTCAGGCACGTTGTCCAAACACGGCTCAAATAAAACACAGCGTTTTATTTAATAACCACCTCCTCTGACACCCACGAGCATTAGTAAAGCAAAGTACGAGTCCCTCCTGTCAGAGAGATGTATTATTGACCTTGAAACATGTTTACTGTCCTTTAGGATTCTGGGAGCACAAGAGATGGTGGGAAGGGTTGGTCTGTCTTATTTATTAATGAATTTATCAAAAGTGTGTTATTCACACTAAACTAAACTAAAAATAACTGTCTTTAACTCAGTTCCAGTAGGGGAGGGCATTTCTTTATGTTAATTATTTTAAAATGCTAGTGCCTGTTCTGAATCCATAGTGTTCTCTCCCTGTGTGTGATGTGAGTTATACCCTCTTTATAGTTGTTGACACAAAGAGCTCAGAATCAATAAAAAGTGCTAATCTAGTAAAAAAGGAAACACTAAGATCTAGCAACATGCACTTTTGAGAAGAAAATTTGTTGGCTACATAATTCGTTTTCCCCACACTTCAGATACTCCATAAACATGTGAAAAATGCATTACTGAGTAGGTGGACCAGATAGGTCATATTAGCCACTCAAGAGTTATGCAGTCACGCCCTGACCGGTTTGGCTCAGCGGTTAGAGTGTCGACCTGAGGTCCTGAGAGACCTGGGTTCGGTTTCCGCTAAGGGCGTGTACCTCGGTTGCAGTTTGTCCCCGGCCCTGGTCGGTTGTGCGGGTGGCAGCCACTCGATGTGTTCCTTTCACATCGATGTTTCTCTCTCTTTCTCTCTGTTCCTCTGTTCCTCTCTCTCCCTCCCACTCTACCTGAACAAAAAAAAATGGAAAAATGTCCTCGGGTGAGGATAAAAAAAAAAAAAGAGTTATGCAGTCACAAACGTTTTTTTCAGACTGATTTATAAAAGTAAACCGTAGAGAACCATCATTTTCGCAATCAGATCATGGTAATGCCGATACTCTTAAGCTGTGAAGTATTCCCACGTGATGCTGTCAAAGTATCTCACAGACATGATCTTTCTGGGCCAAAATTTAGACTGCACTCTCTGTTTGCTCTCAACCCCTTTGCTACACACATGTGGCCCTTCTTAGTTTTCTGGGACTGACACACCGTTTGGGGGCAATTCTTACCGTGATTGCAGGTCCGGCAAAAGCCAAGCTGAGCAGCATGAGGAACGGAATTGCCTCTTGGGTCGGTTCGATGTAGGGCATGCTAAGACTCCGGTCATAGCAGCTGAATCCGGAGTGCACAGGTTTGAAGACATCCGTGAGTTCAAGGAAGTACAGGCTGACCACGGACGATGCCAATATAGGCAACTGGGGATGGAGGACACAGAAGATGGATTTATTCTTCTGTGCGGTCATACAGACGCCACACATCTTGAAGTGGGAAGCAAGTGTGTTTCCCCTCTCTCACCATTTCTTGCCCGTGTGAGTTAAAGGCGTTCATAAGAACTATCGCTTCTGCCTTCAAAGCATGTCTCCGAGTCATCCACCTCGGTCAGCAGTTTGCTGTGAGCCGAGCTCTCACTCACCTTTGCTCTCGGACCACCTCCTACTGGTCTTCCACCTTCAGTCTTAGAAGAATGTGCAGAAGCTACAGCAGATAGGAAGGCAATTCTCCTCCTTTATGTCAGTTCACATAAATGAGTCTCTAATTACTGGCAGGAAAAACACCTCAACATTGTGTCCAAATGAGCATTTCTGTCCTTGGCTCCCACATTCCCAAATCCACTTGGCCAGGAGGAAATTACTCCATCCTGCAGTTACTGGGAAGTACATTTCTCAGCTAATTAATACTAGGAGAAACCATAGGAAGCTGGGATGCTCATGATGAGACATTTCACAGTTTAAATACATTCTTTTTCTTGTGGTCATCCTGGGAGAAAAGGACAACTTGGATGTTAGGCAAGTTCTAGGACCCCCCGAGTTTCAGTTTATGGAGTTAGTATCTATTCCTCAGCTGTATTTCAGGATCAAGTGAGATGATGTGTGTGAGCAAATCACATTTAACTGTAACGGAAAATTCAAAGTTATTTTGTTACCAATGTTGTAAATTATACTCTAACCCTTCCAGTGTTCCTTCTTTCCTTTCCTATCCACCAGAGACTTCATGTCAAGGGAAGTAACTGGGAAATCACAGATGGGCAATTAGGTCATGAGGAAGAAAAACATCACTTCCAAGTCTCTGCTCTTTAGCTGTACCCACTTTCCAAAGAGCCTAACAATTGGGAAAAGTAGGAGATTCATTCAAAACAACTGTAACGTGTTGTTCACGGCCACCTGGTGTCACGAAACAGGTGTCCTGGGTATCTAGGTAAAATCACACAGCTGGCCCAATTGGTTCCCATGTCGAATTAGAGCGACCTGCATTTCGAGTGTTGTAATCCAGGGGGAAGCTTTCTAATATAAGGAATTCTAGAAATAGTCATAATTAGGAACAGCACTGGTCTGACATTAACTGTGTGCCCTAAGGTGACTCATTAACCTTTTCAAGCCATTAGTTGCTCATTTGTGATGGAAGAAAGATTCAAACCAGATGTTCTTGGAGTACATGATTTTATTAGACTTCATTCTGGAATGAGACATTTCCTCATCTTTTAAAGACAGTTTGCTTGAGAAATAGCCTGTGCTGTATACATTCACAGAGAGGAAACCTGTTGTAATATTTGTACACATTCCTAACATAAACAGGAACGAATGTGCCTCAAATGCTTTTGATTTAGCAAGCCAGCCTGGACCACCCGGATGTCTAAGCAGTCCCGTGTCTCGCTCCCAGACCGGGTCCTCACTGCCGGTTCCACATGCACCCCCACGTTCATCATCTCAGCTTTTCCTCCCAGTCCCGCTGGCCTGGCCCCTCTGCGTCGGTCACCTCTCTGGTGACCTGTCCTTCTCACAGACCTGTGGAGCCCACTCGGCACTTAGTGACAGTCCCGGCTCTTCTCCCTCCTCCACCACAGCTCCTCGGCCCCCACAGGAGCCCACGGCCGCCTTGGCGCTCCCCCAGAGGAAGCAGTTGCTGGGGGGACAGTCCCTCTGCCCTCGACACATCCACGGCAGAATTCAGCCAGTCACCCCAAGGAGGGACGGCAGTCACAAAGCCAAGTTCAGTAGCAGGGTGCAGAGGAGAATAACTGCTCCACAACGCAGAGCCCACCAGACACGTTCCAAGCCATCCCTTCAGTCCACCAGCTCCCACGCGTGGCCACGACGGGCTCCCGCCCACTTGGTGGCAGAGGCCCACCTCATCCGCACAGATGTGTTCTGGTGATGGGGAGAGAGGCGGGCCTGCACTCAGACTCTGGCTCCTTCCCTTCATTGCTGTTCACCTCTCTCTGAGTCACACTTTGATGATTAAAAGAAGAAGGATAATGACGCCTCCTTGGCACTGCCTCCACACAGCACTAACCCTGCTTCTGGGCAGTTCTCAGAATGAAAGACAGCAGACGCAGGCCTGCCACAGAAAGGGGGCTTGAAACGGACTCTTCTCTTTTTATTGCTATTGTCATCATGACCATTGATCTCTGTTTAAGGTTGGTAGAAGCCGGTGTCTTTTCCTGGCGGAGAAAAGCAGGGCAGAGATCACTGGGAGGGACCCGGCCGTGGGCACACGGTGGCACACGGTGGCACACGGCGGTACCGAGGATGGCATCCTGTGCCCCAAAGGCAGGGCTGATGTTCAATATTTCACCTTGGTATTTGTGGAAATGTCCTAATTTGGTCTCTCTAAAACTTAGGAATCTGTTCTGTTCTCTAATCCCTTTTTCTTTTTTATCAAAGAACGCTGGGCATCGAGACCCTGAAGGAGGAGGACATATCCCTCAGCTCGGCCCTGTGGCACTTGGAGCACACTCTCTCCGCGCCATCTAGAGAAGGGAAAGTCTAGCTGCTCTTTGGTGTGTGCAATGCAGAAGTCTCGGGATTGTGTGCTTCCCACTGCTGCTAAATCTTATGTAAGAGGAAATAAGCTAGCTCTCTTCCCCACAAGAAGTTCAAATGAGTTCTTATACTTTGCACATAGCACATGCGCTGGAACAGATATTTTGTGAATTGATGTGTTTGCTAGTTAGGGATCCATGGACACTTTCCCCTGGAAGAAAGCAACTGTGTGAAGGTTTTTCAGGACACACAAGTCAAGACCCGGTGTCCAAACTGGACTCCCCAGGGTGTCTCTGCACCCACAAAGGCTTTCTGAGCTTCTGCGGGTCATTTGGCAACAGAGAAGCAGTGGTTTCCACTCCTGGACACACCACGTAGTCACTGACCCCAGAGCAACACATCTGTGGTCAAGTACAACATTCAAGTTAGTGAAAACGTCCCATATAATTTCAACTCTGTTGTGTTTAAAACGTTCTGAATCTGTAATGCCTCAGATACTGTTATCTTATGCTTACTGAAGAGAGAGATGATATTCTTGCTCCCTCCAAGTCTGTGCGTGCCTATATGTGGAGGGGTGTGTGTGTGTGTGTGTGTGTGTGTGTAAAACAAACATTTAAACTATCTGTATCTACAGCCTACAGGTCAAACTTCTACATCCATAAAGTAAACATTAGTAATACAAATGCATGTCATAAACATAAAGCACAATGCTTAAATGAAAAGAATCTCATTCCCATTTATTTATTAAGAACTTATCTCTTTTTGGCTTCCGAGGGAATTTACCACGTGATTACATCATGCGCTGTATTGGTGTGAACTCCCTCTGACCCGGAGGAGTCATGAGAACGGCAGTGGGAGTCTGAGTGCCGCTGACACCGCGCCCAAGGGACGCACGGAGGCGCACAGACACGCAGCCGATCACAGCACTGAGGCCAGTGTGAGACGCCCTTCCTGCCTCCAGGTGTGCGGCCAGCTGCGGCTGCCGCCGTCAGTGACACACTGTCATGTGGAGAGCACGCTGCCACTCCGAGGGCAGAGACACCTGCTTTGCTGTCTAGCCTGGGAGGCCCTGAATGCGCCCACCCCGCGGGCTCCTCTCGCCTGGGGCCTGAACAAGGCAATGGTGCCAAGCTTGCTCGCATCATGCTGTTTTCCCATCGCCGTGCGACGGCGGTGTGCTTCATCACTGTCGACCACAGTCACCGGTCACTGGGGGCATAGCCCGCAGGTGGAAGGGAAGTTTGTGCTGTCCCTTACCTTCAGGTTTGCTTAACGTCAAATATGGTGGTGACCTGGGACAAGATCACTTTTTTTAGTTTTTAAATTTTACTGATTTTGAGAGAGAGGAAGGGAAGAGAGAGATTGATCAGTTCTCCCTGACCGGGGATTGAATCCCAAACCTAGGTACGTATCCTACCAGGAATCAAACCTTCTACCTTTTGGTGCACAGGATGACGCTCTACCAACTGAGCCACACTGGCCAGGGCAAGATCACTTGATTTCAGTGGCTGAACAAGGATGTAATTAGACAGACCCTGACACTCTACACCTGGGCCGTCAGTGTCCCTGCTCTGTCCCAGCACCTGGCATGGGGACTGTTGAGGGGACACTGTCTGCTCAGGAGCGAGTCCGTGGGGAGTTCACACTGTCCACCGGCTCTGGCTGACAGGTGCCCCGGGAGGAGGAACTCGGCTGGGAAAGGGGCCTGTGTCAGGCCAACCACGTCAGCTCGTCATCTGGCCTCACTCAGGCGACAGCTTCCTAGTTTTCCAGCTTCCTAGTTTTACCAGCGGGAAACCACAGGAAGTAACTCTGCCTCTTCTGAGAATCTCTGAAGACTGAACAAGATGGCACGTGTAAAGCAGTGAGCTACGTTCTTCTCGCATACTGACTGCTTCGGGAATGGCTGCCACTGCCCTGGCCGGTTTGGCTCAGCGGTTAGAGCATCGGCCCGCGGTCCAGAGAGACCCGGGTTCGGTTCCCACTAAGGGCACGTACCTCGGTTGCAGTTTGTCCCCGGCCCTGGTTGGGTCGTGAGGGTGGCAATCGCTCGATGTGTCCCTTTCACATCGATGTTTCTCTCTCTCTTCCTCTCTCCCCCTCCCACTCTATCTGAACAAAAAATGGAAAAATGTCCTTGGGTGAGAAGAAAAAAAAAGAAGAAAACAGAAAGAAGTGGCTGCCACTGTGACCAGACAGACCAGGTTTAGCTCTCCTGTTTACCCCCATGCTCCATCCACATAGGTCAGCTTCAGAAAGCTCTGGAACCCACGCCACTCCTGGAGCCTGGGGAGGAGGAGACTTCTTCTGAGCAGAGGGGACCCGTGCTGCTGGGTGAGGACATGATCCCCGGAGACCAGCCCAGACCCGTGCACTGAGGGCAGGGCCTGCGCTGTCTCGGGCCCACCATGAGGCCTTCCACGCTTTGACCTCGTTGTCCGAGATATGGGTGTCAGAATTTCTTTTATATATGTATGTTCATAGTATAGCATGTGATTTCTATCACATATGCAGAAATTGAGGATGAGAGAAGAGACTTGGCCAGAAGTATGCAAGTCGTGTGTGGCGCAGGTGGTGTGTGAGCCGGGTCACCTGCCTGCGGGCCCAGGCTATTCCTGGGGACCACCCTGCTGTTCTCCCGCCACAGTTTGGTTGTCGGATCCCGGCACCTCTGGTCTGGGTGACGGTTGCTCCTCCATCTCCTGGTTCAAGTGTCTCACATCGCATCCTGTCAGAGACAGCGATCCAAACTGTCTACGATGTCTCTGACTTGACACTCAAACATGGCTTTCTCCTCAAATCTAGTCCCTTTGCCCATTTTGTTACTTAAACCATCGTCTGAAGTAACAGAGAAGGCGAGTCCACTGGACTGGTATAGGAGGGGAGACTCGCTCATGTCCCACTTCCCATTTCAGTGCCTGAGGTCTTGGGAAACTGTGCTGTGGGCAAAGTGTCTCTGCTTCCTAGCCTCCTACTGACATGTCAGCCCGCGCTGTACCGCTCACGCCCCGAGATGCCCCTCACTCTCACGCCTGCAACACGAGTCACTCCAGAGGAGCTTGGTGATGCATCCTGCCACCCCTCCAACAGTCGGGGTGCTGATGTCTCCCCCATTTTCTAGAGGATCTTTAGTAGTTCATCATGCATTTCAATTCCAGGGAGACTATTTGCAAAGCAGTTCCGTGGCTGTGACCCCCCCCCCCCAAGACAAAGTGTCATAAATGCTCATTCAAACGCCATGAATTGTCTTCAAGTAACTGTGCTAGAGCAACCCTGCTGCGGGATTCCTAGCGGGTAACGGACTGGGTCAGACCGAACGCAAGATTCTGGGCTATTTCCACCCAGGGAAGAAGTGACATCAGTGACACGTTTGTTCCTAGAGCTGCACTTCGAATGCACTGAGGCATTTTGACTTGTAACATTCTAGATGAAGGAACCTGCGCGCTTGTCCAAGGCCCCTCCGAGGTGTACGCACTGATCTTAAAGGCACAGCCTTCCTTCTCTGGGTTGCACCCTCTCTCGGGAAAGCGTTTTCCTTGAAGCACGTGGCGGTGGTGCATATTCAGCCGCATCCAGCTCAGTGCTCTGTCCTGGAGCTGGACCCACACAAGGAACTGATTTCTCCTAGACAGAGGGAATCCACCCAGACGCAATGGAAGCCCTTGAGTGCCAAACAGTGGGTTAGCAATGTGACGAAGGGCCGACAGGGCTTAACTTGGGAGCAGGAGCTCATCTTTCCAGCCTTTTAGCTTTCACCATGGACTCCTCTGCTGTCCACGTGTTTCTTTAGAAAATTCTTTATTATCTTTTGGCAAAGTGACCTAAACCATGGCCTCAAAATCCCTTATGAAAAGAGGAAGACAATGAGTCTCTTAACTACTTTAAATAAACAGGAAAACTTATTTTCCTCTATGGGTCATGGATGAAGGAGTCAGCCATCATTTCTCTGAGACTTATGCAAATCACATTCATCTTTCTGAAAAGTAAAAGCATTTAAAACAATGTGTGACCTTAAGAGAAGCTTGCAAATATACTGTAATCCATGGAGACAATCTGACAGTGTCCCTCTCCCAGGTGTCAGGGCAGGGACTACCCACCACAGATAAGCCTCACGATCAACAAATCCAGGATCTCCCATCTGTACTTGCAAGTGCTAAGCCTCCATATTTAGCTGAAAAGACGGCCAAGGAAGAATATTTATAATCCAGCAACAGTCTTCTCATTCTCGATGCAATGCTGGCTCTGATTACACACAACAGTTTCATGCCCCAAGCCATCTGATTTCATCAAACCTATTCGTGCATTTCTTTCCTACCTATGATTTCATAAACCTCTTGCTGGAAAATGTCTCCCACGGCGCACAGAAGCTCTGCACCTGTCAGCCTGGATAACCCTCCCATGCTGGTCCTCCCGAAGTGCAGCATTCTGGGGAGTCAGAGAGCATTCCCAATACACCTGCAGGTTAACTGCTTCTCTGTGATACTGCTCTGCACAGGATAAGTGCAATGTACAAATCACGCAAGATCAGATGATGTCACTTATTTTCTACATCCATATATACCCATATGGATACATGTACATATGTGTGTGTGCATATACACTTTCTTTGCTAACCATGGAAAAGGGCCAATAGATTGCTGCCCAGAGATGCAGACCCTATTTTAGAAGCAGACATAAGCACCACAGTAATTATGATAGGAGGGTTTTATGCTTTTTTTTTTTTTTTTTACAATAAAGCAATAAATAATCCTAGTACTTTATATACATCCCCAGCCCTCAAACAACTAAGGCATGGCCGTGTGCATTTGAATTCTTACTAAAAGCTCACAGAATTCTGGATACATACTCGCAGACTGAAGATACAAACCCCAAATATCGGCATCATGGCCCCCGTGGCCCGCAGGACAAGAGGGCCCGGGAACTAGCCCTACACTCACACAGGTATCTCTTCCCAGGCCACCCAGCAGCGACAGCGCTCGTGGGAGTCACCCGGGCTGGCAGGCAGTCCCAGGCACCCTCGGGTGAACTCCCCCCAAAGACTGGGGAGGGGGAGGGTCGGGCACGGGGGCCGCGGCGCGCACCCTGGCACCCGGTCCAGCACCCGAATCCCCGAGCTGCCCGGAGGATCTGCATTATGCCAAGGCCCGGGCCAACCTACCTCGACAAAATAGAAGCAGGGCAGGAGGGTTACGCTGTCCTTGATCACTTTGCCCTTTGGCCTCTCCTTCGCCGACATCCCGCCGCTAGCCCGGGTCTGCGTCCTCCGGGGCGAGGTGTGCGCAGAGCAGGCGAGGCAGCCGCCGCCTCCAGCCGCCAGCGCCCGGGCGCGCTGATGTCACGTTCCCGCGGGCGCCGCGCAGCGCCCCCGCCTGTCCCCGCCCCTCGGTGCGCAGCCCCGGGTCCTCTCCCTCCAGGCTCCGGTCCCGCGCCCCGATTTTCCCCGCGGAGACCTCCAGTTCCTCCTCCAAACTGTTGCTGCAATGGCTTCCCCTCCCTGCCGCCCTCCCTCCCTCGCCACCGCCCCTGCCAGGCTGTCGGAACTTGACGTCAAGAATCGGAAAAGGGGGACGCAGCCCTGGATTCTGCAGCACTGCGTCGGGAGAGCCGAGGCGCCCCGGGAGCCTCCTGGGGCACTGTGGACCCAACGCTGACTCCAGGCTTCCCAACTGCCGAAGCTTGGCCCCTGCGCCCCCGCCAGCCACGGGTGTGCCGACCAGCCTGTTCCCGACCCCTCCCTGAAAAGTGGGCCGTGCTAGGAGCTTAGTGAGAGCTGGCTGCTTGCCCAGAGTGACCCCCTCCCAGGCGGCTCTGCCGGGGGACTCCCCACAGCACGGGAGGGTCCCTGCAGAGCGGAGGCAGGTGTGCGGGCATCTTCAGGGAGCCCAGCCTCGTCCTCCGGCCCCAGGACACCACCAGTGTTACAGCCGAAGGAAAGGAAGCCCCTTCAGACATCACCGACCTGAACCAAGTCCTTCACCTTCTTGGCAGCTGCATGGCTGAGCTCAACTTTGTGGTTATTTTGGCAACCCTGAAGTGTCAAGTGATAGAAAGGAGAAATATAAAACAGTTTATTACAGTAATAAAGATAGCCCACTGCCTTTATCACACGCCCCGGGGTCATTTCCACCATCTCCAAAGTCTCCCCCGCAAGCACGGGACAGCCGGTTGGCACCCCGCTTTCCAGCTCACGTCTTCAGTTGCCCCTCTGCCTCAGCCCTGGATGCCACAGTGAGATACCACAGTCTGGGTGGTCACACTCAGGGCTGGAGGCTGGAGTCAGAGGTCAGTGTGCTGCCAGGCTGGGCTGAGGCCTCTCTTCTTGGGGGCAGGTGGTGGCCTTCTCCTGACTGGCGGAGGAAGAGGGAGCTAGAGAGCTGCTCATCTGGCATCTTTTTATCAGGGCACCAATCACATGAGGAGGGGCCGCCCTCCCGACTTCATCTAAGCCTAACTATCTCTCCAAGGCCCCACCTCCATCATTTGGGGGTTAGGGGTTCAACATAGGAATTTGGGGGGAGGACACAAACATTCAGTCCATAGCAGACTCCAACAGAGCCCCCCATGCTCACATGTCACTGCCATTGTGCCTCGTGCCTGCGCTGTCTTCTGACAGGTTTCAGAGGTTCTGGGTACCTTCCATCATCTCCCATCCATGTACCACAGTCACCTGGCAGAGTCCCAGCCGCTCAAACACAATTCTTTACCCTCACCAGGACAGCATCGAGTTTGGGAGAAAACACACGGCATGTGCTCTAGTCTCACGTGAGGTTCATGACCATGAACTTCAGGACCCACTAGTCCACAATCCTAACATTTGTCTATAGTCTGTTTATTTTCTGACTCTCTGAGGACCAACTCGCACTGTTTAAATCTTGTCATGTCCAAGTAATGACTTCACTCTTATTCTACTTATAAATGGGAGAAATCGGAAGAGAACAATGTTCTCTTTCAAAGCCAACTCCGTGACCCCCTCCCACCCAGCTCCCATCATCTCTTGCCCAGATGGGCACAGTAGCCTCCTAACTGTTCTACAGCTTCCACCTTGCTACAAACCATCCTCTGTAGAGCAGCTAGAATGATCTTTTGAAAAGTAAACCCAGTTGTGTCATTTCTCAGCCCAAACCCTCCAAGAACTGTCACATTCAAGAGAAAATCAAACTCCCAGCCACTTCCTCAAAGCCCTACCTAAGACCCCGCCTGGCCCACGGGCCTTGTTCACCCTGTGCCCCAGTCAGTAAATCCCGGTGTAGCTTTGTGCTGCCTCAGGGATTCTGTACGTACTGCCCCTTTGTCCAGGAGCCCTGTTCCGCCAACTCTGCACGGCTCAACCCCTCACTTGTCCACGCCTTTGCTCAAACTTAACTCTTCCCAGAAGGCTTCGGGGGGCACTCTCTCCATCTAAGAGTGTCAGTGACTCCCAGCCTCTGTTAATCTTTATTCTTTCGTGCCATTTCGTGTTTCTTCATAGAACTCATCACTGTCTGCTAGCTCATCACTTATTTCTTGGTCAGTTTTTTCATCGCCTTCATCTCCCACTAGAATGTAAATTTTACAAGGTCAAGCACTTTTCTTTTTGGTAATCTTTACCAGAGGATATTTTGCCATTGATTTTTAGAGAGAGTGGAAGGGAGAGAGAGAGAGAGAGAAACATTGATATAAGAGAGACACATTGATTGGTTGCCTCCCACACGACCCCGACTGGGGCTGGGGATCAAACCTGCAACTCAGGCACATGCCCTTGACTGGAAATCAAACCCATGACACTCTCCAAGGGCTGATGTGCTAAGTGCTGAGCCACACTGGCCAGGACAAGCTCAAGCACTTTTACATCATTACAAGTCTAGTAAGTGGTACTGTGCCTGGCGAGTAGTGGGTGTTCAGTAAACATTTGTTGAAGAAAGAAATGAATCAATTAAATTAAATGATACATATAAAATCACATCATATAGTTTGGTCTATATGTTCTATAGTGTTAGTTGATTATGTTTGTTAATTATGTTATTTATCAATGACTATATTTTTCATTACTGCCAAAGTTACTTTGTATGTGCTTCTTTTCTTGAACTTTCTTACTACCTCAGCAGAACGTACAATTCTTGGTAAAAGTAAAAAATAAGTTAGAAAATGTCCGAAGTTCTTAGGATTTCTACATAAAAGGGAGGTAAAACATAAGGCTAAAACTATAGCGTCCTGACTTCATTAGCCAGGAGCTGAATATATGAGATAGAATATCCGAGAGGTATGCTGACCACACCTCAGTAATTCAGATTATTGAAAGATCAGAAATGTGTTCGTTCCTCTTTGGGTGGTCAGGAATCAGGAAATCTTTCAGAACTCAAAGCCAATTCTGACATAAGTCCCCTATCCCTCCTTTGCTCAGATTCCTCTTCTCTTTTTTTTTCTTTTAAAGTATTTAAAATCATTAAATTCCCATTTATAATCATTTCACGAAACCATCAAGCTGCTCTATGTATTCCCGACAACTAAACACAGCAGCCGCGTCTTACATTGGGAAACAGTTTGATAAATTTTACCTACTTTAACTTTAGATGCTCCAAAGAATGCAAGAAATAGGGCAAGTGCTTTCCCTATTTTATAGAAAAGTCCTGTAGACTGGACCTAGAGATGGAAAAAAGAACTAGAAGGCTGAGTCAGAGGAGAATGAGACTTGGAACCAAAGACCAAAGTTCAAACCCGGGGTATGCCAGGTCTGAACTCCGCTCTGCAGTGAGCGGTCATGTCTCCAGGCTCCAGTTCCCCAATGTGTGAAATGGGAGAAGCTTTGCTACCCCGGACCACAGCACTCTGACCCAATGTGACAATGTACGCGACAGCCTTTGGGAAATTGTCCATTTTCCGTTCATCTGCCCATCCATTCAGCCTCCAAATATTGACTGATGCCCCGCTCTGTAAGATATGGATCCTGCCCTCCCACGTGGCCCCGGAGAGACCCAGACACGGAGTTGGACATGACAATGGGAAAGTCTCACATGCTGATCATGGTGGACGCGCCCCGTCAAAGCGCGTGGCATCCGTTACCTCATTTTATTCTCGCCACCTCCTGAGCACTGAGCGGCCTGGCTCACAGTTCTTAGTTACAAACCTGAGCTCAGACAAGCTGGGTTTTGCACTCAAGGGCAGCCGGTGACGAGGGCGGCTGAGGCTTTGAAGCCAGTAGGTACTCCGCGCTCCGGGGCTCGAGGGCGCGCACGGTCCTGAGCACACAGCCAGTCCTGCCTTGGGATGCTCCTGCTGAGGAACAGCAAGATGCAGTTGTCCTTGCTGTGAGGGACTCCTTCAGCCCAGGAGGGCCAGGCAGGAGGACACCGAGCCCCTTACAGACCGAGGGTACTGGAGAGACCCCTGAGCCAGGAGCTGCTCCACCCTCATTCCCTGGGGAAATCAGAGAGGCCTAGGGCAGAACCTGTGTGCTGAATGTGGCAGGTCCTCATACTCACGATGGCATTAAAAACACTTCCTGCGCCTCCCAGAACGTGAGCATCTTCAGTGGAAACGTCCTGTGTGTCCCAGGGAGGAACGGCGCCCACCGACAAGCACGCTGACATTTCTCAAGCAGAGGACCTCCCGGCACAAACAGGCGGGAAAATGGGCCTGAAAATGCACCTGCCACAGTCATGGAAACTGCCAGACTCCCAAGATGGGCAAGACGTGGTTTCCTCGCCGTGGTTCGAGCTGGACGGTGCACTGTCAGGCCAGTACCGGCTCTCTCAGCTTCACGGCTACGATCATCCTCTGGGCTGTCTGTGTCACAGTTATTATGAAAGTCCTAAAAAGAAGATTTAATTTAGTAATGCCTTTCGCAGACATCAGCCCACTCCATGGCATTTTGAAGACAGTGTAAGATTTTATTGCATTTTTAAAAAAGAGAGAGGTTTTTAAAAAATGGAATATGCAGATATGGGAAGTAGCAGAAATACTGAAATGAGGCAAGTCTGGAAGAGGGGAAGGTGATGTTCTCGTTAGGGGCTGATTTCAGTCTGTCCTCTCCCACGATGCGCTTGTTGGAGCCCCGCTTACACTGTGCTCATTCTGCCTGGGGATGCGTCACTCCCCCGGTCTCGCTGTCCCATGCCCTCGCTCTCAGTGACCTGGCTCTGAGCACCAGGAGCCCTTATTTTGTGCTGCACTTCCCAACCCTCGACCCTGAGCTTCTGTTTCAGCTGATGGATTCTTACCTCGTTCCCCTGCCTGTAGGAGTGACAGGGGGTAGGACACCTGCCATTTCTCTTCTGTTCATC